CGGCCCTTAAAATGAAAATATATGTTCGACGACTGAGAAACGTGTTGAGGTTAATTTGGATAATTGATTGATACGATATATTCAGTAGCATGATTGATCAGCTGTGAACAACTAATTTCGGACTTTGTATGAGGTATCTTCCTTTCTGTGTGTATATTTCACATATATGTCGGTCCAATTTTAGTGCGTTTTCACTAGGTTAACATTGAGGTTGTTTTGTAATATTATTGACGCGTCACGTATCTACCGATCGGTCGATGTAATTAAACAAATTCTACGATAGGGTTTGTAGTATAGTCAAGATGCAAGGATGTGATGAATAACGACATCCATAAATGTATTAAAGCTTTTTGAATTCGCGTCGGACACATACTCGAGTACCTAAGATTTTAAGTATAATGCTGGGCCGGCAGATGTATTCGGGGTGCAGCCGCATCACCTCGGACAAAGCATATACCTGGCTCAGACCAAACTAGTTACAAGGACTTCAGCGTATATAGAACAAAACATAATAAAGCCAGTGTAAAGAGTCGATTTATTATGATGTCCAACGGTTTAAGACCCACGAGATGTGAACGAAGAAAAGGGTTGAATGCAAGACAAATAAATCGGTGATGTTCAATACAGATCGTAGGGCAAGGACGATAGCAATTAAATCTTGATATTTGATGTCTCAACAAGGTGCCTTGGACCATTTGGAAAACAACAAAGTATCGAAAATTGTGCGACTATGATAAATTATTTAAAGGGAGGTAAGATACAGTTTCCACTAAATTATGCCTCGTCCGACACCAAGAAGGTTGTATAGATTAGTTTATCAGAACGATTGGTGCTTATTAAATTTTCGAATGTGTATCGATAATATATGAACGAATTATAATGTTTACAGTAGCAAGGCTTTATGTGTGAGGATGATATCATAGATGCTGACTCCTTTCTTTAAATTTTATCTAAAGGATTATAAAACTGTTGGATGGAGAGATCCATTAGATATTGATATAGACATTGATGTTTTTAGAGATAGTACAGTCGTAATGATAGGTCTGCCATCAATTAAGTAGGATGACAATGAGGTTTCTACTTGCATTTATCTGCGCGAGGCTCGTGGCAAACCTTCCAAAAAGGATTAAACATTGTTATTACGACAATTCAAGACTTCTGAAGTAGAATTGTCTAGCGATTAAGTTCTTCTATACGTTGCGGATCGCTAGAATAGTACAAAAGTATCGATTAGTATATCGGCGAGGTGGACATGCAATTATAAACATTTATGTTGGTATATTTGGCAAAGCCTAATGATAGACATTTTGCATATAGGAAAATGTACTAGTATCTCTGCATGTTCGACGAAACCGCGCGTCTTCAACTGTAGTATTGTTCTTATCATAGATAACGGTTGCTTTCAACCATTTAGCAATCTATTACAGTAATCGAGCAATAAATCTTACTTTTTGACATTAAAAAGACGCCATTAAATTGTTTTCAAGCAGTTTCTGTGAGTACAGACGACAAGATCTATGACATGTGCTCCGCCTCGAGCACTTACTTCCTGAGTTAATTGGACAGAATTGGACAGCAGCATATGTGAACACATCTCAATCATGGTATTTTACGCGTCAATATATACATACCACTGAACAATTAATATTGACTGACTGATTGAAATAAACACCTGTCTGTAAGCGCATGTGATTCTAGGATTCCGAAAGCAAGTTTAATAAAAATAGAGTATCTACGACACGCATCAGCGTAAAGAAAAAATTGAGATGTCTTCGATTTAACTCAACGCTCAGTATTGGGTCAAGATCAACTTACACTTAAATAAATCTTGCTGATCTCGTACAGAGATCGGCTAAAACAAATTTTATTCTCAAGCAAGGTCTGTATTGCACAAGGCCAATACAAAGAGCTAATACCATCACAACCTACGGGCGCACAGGGTGAGCACAATGGTTACAAGGGCCATAGATTTGTACGATCATCCATTAGTTGGCCAATTTGGGTACACTGGAAAGTCGACGTTCGAGGTCAAAAGGATCTGGACCTTGAATTTTCCTAATACTCTACATGGTTTGTACGCGTACACAAGCAGGCGCAATTAATATCATTTGTGCTTTGTCCTGTGGATGTCTGAGTAGTAAATCTGTGTTATTTTACAAATTTTTCTTGTAAGCCAACCACGAATCGTGTATTACGCAGCTATTATTTGAAATTAATATCAGCTGATGCACACGCGAAACGACTGAATGGCGCTTAATACCTTGTGAAATGCAAAATGCTGGCGTCAATCGATGCGGTGTGCATCGGTTAAACTCCCGCCATTAGTGAGATCAGTGCAAGAACTTCATATTGAAGACAGAGGAAGATAGTCATCTGGTACCTTACATACTACTTCTACAGGATGCATTTAATCAGGACAGGCGAGCTATATGTAAAGAAAACGGGAATGCAAATACTATGTGTGATTAGATAGACCTACCGTGCTATAATTTATACCATCTATTACTGAAGACCAATATTTGTCAAACTAATATAATCTCCGACCCTTGCGTCTGTGATCTTTACTGGTACAAGCAGGGTCACACCTCAGTCGCTACACGTGTTCCGTGCCATTATATGTTTGTTTAGTATTTCCTTAACACGTGATAAAGAGAAAATACGCTGAGCGTTACGTTTCACGTTCAAAATATATTGAAATAATATTAAAACTTTGTTGTGCAAATGCAACCCCAGTACGAAGTAATAGTAAAACTCCCAAACAAATAATTTACAGTTTTGCGCATAAGGCAAAGACATCAACATACATACACAACATTTGTAGAACGTTTCAGCAGATTGCGGCCAAGAAAGCCTGTGAGCCAGTACTTTTTGTGGTAGTGTCGACTATCATAGTTGCATATCTCTGATGAACTGAATGCACACCGACGATTGATGATGCCCAGCAAAATACCTGACTTGTTTCGATTATTAGATGAAGCTTGTAACCGGTCGCGCTTTAACATATAACAGGTAAGTTCTTCTCTAGAAAATAAGACGAGGGTACGTGCTCCCGGACGTCACCTAAATATAAGAGTTGAGGAAGCGCGAGGGAGAGACCTGAGCATAGGATGCTCAGAATAGGTTGGTTTGGTGAGGTATATTCGGGTACGCGAACGACCCACTATATCCGGTATATTCCAACCATGGTTTTTGAGAGGTAGTGGCAGGTTTTCTAGCTACTGGGGGATTTATACTGCAATTATCACCCACAGGGATTATTGTACACAATGAGGGGATTGAACCGACATTCATCATCTGAAAGATTAGCTTACTGCACCACTACACAAGGGAACAACCCCTTGGAATGCTCAGAGTAGAAAAAACCTTAAAATGTATTTGGCTCGATTATGATTCTTTCGATTAACCTTCATGTACATACTTCAACACCACTATATCACAATCTGCTATGAAGGTTTTTCGCTCACCACTCGTTGCGCGCGTCTTGCAGAAATTGGTGGTTATCTTGGTTGAGTTAATGGCCTGTATCAACTAATAAGTGGATCGTGTACATTATTACTTATGAAGGTTTTATTCATGAATATTTCCTTGGCCAGGTAATATTGATAAATTTTATCAACTAAGATAATATTCACATTGACAATATTTAGATACTAATGGCATATGACGGGCCCAGTCTGTTACAGAGGCAAAGAGTCATCTGGCATTAATTAGCAGCAATCGATCTACCGAAAGAAGTCATCCTACTATCATTTTACTGCAAGCAAAGAGGTCGATGTTAAGCGATTTACGAATGCTCTACTCTGTTGTAGGTGTCTTTGGAGTGGATGACACAAGTAAGACGAAGGAAGCTATCGCGACAACTTTATCACTATCGCTCGCGCAAATATCCACAAACGTTGTTACTCGACTTAATTCACTCTCCTCACACGTCACGGCAAGAAGGTGGAGCAGAGCCAATGTCATAAGATGCGCAAATATTAGAACGCAACATTGCAGCTCACTAATGGTCCATTTTTGTTGGAACACGATTATCACAATATCAAATTACCATTTGGCCACTTGACAAGAGACATCTTGGCAACAATGTACAAGGTGTTGGCGCTAGAGCACAATTTTGTTGGCCCAATACACTCTTCGACTATTGGATGTCCTATAGCTCAAATGACGCAATAGTGGTGTCCAACGAGCTATCTCTTGGCCACATCAGTCTCGTGCCATTCGAGAGGAGACCATTAGATCGCACGCCACGCTCCCGACTTGGCGATGTGCTTTATATAAGAACGAAAGAGCAAGCGTCAGACTCCGCATGCTTCCTAGTTGGATACTACACGGCAGAGGGACAAAACAACATATTCTTTCTACGAACATTTCGTCGCACACCTCCGAATCTCGTGCTCAGATACGACGTCGGTGTGACTATAATTCGTTTCGTCGCACCTTCTAGCTCTTATCGTAAGCATATCGGCAGCGTGCGACCATTGCCAAAGCAAACAGTACAGATACGACACAAGCCCTCTGCACGGTCTCGTCACGCATAACTTTTCACAGCCCATCTGACTCGCTGGCGTTGTGGTGGTGTACCTATAGGAGTCCAGTCGCTCGTATGACAGACTGCCTTCAGCTATGCTACGACATGTGTGGCTTTCGGGCTACAGCATCAGCTTCTGCTTGCCCTCTCCAAGTAAAAGGCGGTGCGCATGTGCGTACGACATTTGTATGCTATCGATTTCTCCGATTCCCTTTCTAGTCAAAGCAATGGTCGACCGAGGATTACTTTTCGACTTCGCAGCGACGAGTTACAACTCCAACACACTGCAAGATAATCCACTGAACAACACATCACACGTGCTACAACCATGCGTTTGACATCGCACAGGGAGGATTTTCAAAACTACCAGTCGCCCTCGTTTCCCGAACACAGCAACGGTGGGGCAATGCCGCCCTACGCACCTAGCGACTTCGGGAGTCCGGCGCCGGCGGAAATCGGCGCAAGTCGATCAATGCATTCTGTCGACCTCCACGGTAGTCTCCGCAAAGGAGACCCCGTCAAGTTCTTCTCGAAGGACTGTGCCGGCCTCGTGGCGGCCACATTTGCGTCGTCGTTTTCGGCTGATTGCCTCAATAACGTGATCGGTCCGATGTTAATGAAGCATTTTTTCTTCAGCGCAAACGAGTTGGAAGCTTCGCGTCGTCTGATTGCGATGCCTTCCGCTTTCTCCTTCATTTTTGGGTTGCTCTCGGATTGCTACCCGATCATGGGGTTCCGACGCAAGGCGTATTTGATCGTCAGCCTGGTGACAACCGTGTTGAGCTACTTCATCCTTTCAGCATTGAACATGTATGGCGAAAGCCTCGAACAAGGTACCGCAAGCACCGTGTTGGCAGGAGGCATGATGCTGTTCTCATCACTCGCTAGTATTGGAAACATGGTCACGTACATGTGCGTTCACACTCGAGTGATCGAGCTGGCTCAACGTGAACCGCTAGTTATGCGTGGCTCTGTCATCGCGACCTATCAGATCTTCCGATATGCGGTCTTCGCTGCCACGAGCGCTGGTATTTATGTTGTTCGGAACAACGTGGCGCACCATAGCACGGAGTTGATTGGATTTGGCTTCGTCATATCTCTCGCAATCCCGCTTGTGTGGAATGCTTGGGTGGAAAAGTATTACTCACTTTCGACTTCGATAAGGACTCGCGGCCAGATTCTATGGAGAGTCATGCAGCAGAAAGCAGTGTGGAGCATTCTCGTATTTTCGTGCATCTCAACCTTATTCAACACCATCAGGTTTCGAGATCACGAGTTACTTGTGAGCTTTTGGGCGGGCGCTAGCAGTGACAACATATATTTACTGCAAACCATGAGCTTCACCACGGTAATGTTGATGGACATAGCGTGGCGCTACTTCTTTATGAATCGACCGTGGCGTGCATTTTATGCAATGTCCACTGTGCTGCTCGTGGTGTCTAAAAGCATCCAGGCTACGTGCGTTATTCTGGACATTGTTCGGAACCGATACTTCTACCACGCGATGAATGTATTCGCAAGTATGTCAGGCGCTATCTCCTGTCTAGCAAGTATAGTACCTCTCACGGAGATCATCCAAGAAGGCTCTGAAGGTGCCATGGTTGGATTGATGATGTCGCTGTACTTTTTGGTCGTCACCTTCGTTCAGACAAACTCGATGGGGCTGTTCAAAGGCGCAAACTTCTACGAAACTGATGACGTTGGATCAGACTCCCCGGAAGCGCGTTTGATTGTGCTTAAGACGATCTATATATGCTATGGCATTAATGCCTTGGCACTCATTGGTATCTTCTTCTTACCGCGACAGAAGCTTGACACGCAGCAGATTCGAAGTTACGGCGGATATACCAAGTGCGTGAGTGCTACTGTCCTCGCGTTCGTTGTGGTGCTCTTTTCGTACTCGCTGATTGTCACGATACTCACGTTGGTGCCATCGACGTCTTGCTTGGGCATTGCTGGTGGAGAAGGCTGCTAGACTCCATCGCCGGCCTCATGGCCTCCGCCGTCTTCATACATGATGCATTCGTTTAAGCTCTACTTCACCTGTTGGTGGTGTCCATTCTGACACATCAGTAATAAGCATATCAGTATCTCAGCGTAAATAAATACGCTACCGATTGATCAGCTGTTCTTGAATAAGATATATATTGATTTCGCTGTCGCGTTGCCGAATGGCCATTCGTATAGTTCTCCGACTTGAGCTAATGAACAAATTGGTTACCTGCAAGACTACTGATCTACCACAAATGTCATAAGAGCAGGCCAAACGTATCGCGCAGCTTGCAATGTATGATGTTGGTTTTGCTCGCCTTGGATTTACAGTGCGCTGCGAGAAATGTGCTCTGTCCATGCGCCGATGCATCTTATACACCACCTCCTTCAGGTACAAGCAAATTTGATACAGTATAACCTGTCTACTTCATTATTGTAAGAATTCCAACGCTCATAACTATTCATCTACCCTTGTCTTGACGTCGGGCACACACTTTTGTTAATGAACATCTTTTGTATATTATATAAAATGAAATGCATGGATCATTTCACTTTGATTTGGTATGCCTTGACGGAGAGGCAATTTTTGATGCGATGATGATGGGATGAGCTACTTAAAAACGTCCAAAGAAGTCATTTACATCAGTCTATACCATTTTGACTGTGCAGATTGCCTCCATTATATCCTTCATTTGCTGTAGTGACTCGATAAAATCTAGTGCATCGCCCACCTGTTGCAGCGACGATGTTTCAACGAACTCGACTGCTTTCTGAGCCTCCACATTAGTGACAATTTCTGGCTTACATCCTGTGATTCAACAAACTCATTTCCAAGGGGGACATTCTCACATCCCAACTGTTTGGTTTGATCTACTCAGCAGGTTAGTCTAGAGGTAGTGGATGTATATCGGGTTGGGGTACCTATATTGTCCAATCTGATGTTACGCTTGTCCAGGTTTGCATTTTTATGGCACTACTCCTTTAAAAATGTGTAAAGCATCAGTTTGCTCGGAACGGATCTTGCGGTCCCTGGTAAAGTTTCACATACTATAAATGCTGACATCACCATTTGCTCATGCCGAGACCAACAACTGGATAGCAGCAGAGTTAGTACTGTTGCCGTCTGAAGGACAATAACGAAGATATCTTAGAAAATTACTTGTTTGAAGCTGCGAATACTTATCGAATTGAGGTTGCGAACAATTGATACTCCTTAAATATGGATATTAAATGTTTCACTAAGTGAATAATAGTTATCCTCTTGTTGCAAAATATAATCCGATGCGGCAGATCAGAATGAAGAGCGCGTGAGATGTATTCGTATGGAACAACATCACCTTGCAGCCTGATACTATTTAAGATTAAAAGTCCCTCAGACACTCTTAAATAGAGATTATGTCATTGTGACACTCATGTTTCGTAAATTTAGACATGGAAGGTGCTAGCGATTGACATAGGAAAAAAGAGAGAGTGTAGCATACTTGTCATGGTTCTATAGCGCATTTTTATATTCACTTTTCAGTAGAATAGAAAGTCAACGTATCGGTGCAGCTACGTCTGCTTGCAACCGCAAGCTTTAGCTTTGTTATCGAGTTCATTTGAAGCATTAACATCAATTAAACGAGTTGAATAATTCTTTATAGCAACGAACGAACGAGTCTTTCAGAAAATTGGTCCTTTTGTAGCGAAGTGAGCTTGTTACATGAAGTTATCATTTACAATAATAGTAATGATAGGGAATGTGAATTCTAATATTATCATAACCATTCCACTGAGCTCAGTGATATTGTTGCAGTGACCCATGGGTCGACTTATTGGTTGATAAACAATTATATCGATCTACCAACCCCTGCTAGACGCTCGCAATGGATGGTGAGTAGACGTCACTATGCATGTATCGATTGAACCATAGCCAAGACGAGACAACAAGACGAGACAACTTATAGGACCTAGTAATGTCAATACAGTTTGGCATTACCATTTACTGGCCGTAGTCGCCCGGTCTTGACTCTTCCTCTAGCGTACTGCGTACGTTACTTAACATAGCACTATATCACACTGTTGTCAGTAAACGCTTGCTAAGCACTACATTCATTGCGTATCAAATAGTGCCCCTTTACACCTCTAGTCTCGATGCAATCGACAAGCCTCTACAAAGAACGAACTTGCACAAGGTGCTCGATATCATAAACTTTTAAGACGTTATTCTTCCTAGTTATCCACCTTTTTCTGAGCACGTGAACGCAAGATGTAAACTGATGTTGTTTTAACTTTTACGCGGGGTACAAACCCGTCTGAGTTTTTAATCTCCGGATTTTACATACACAAGGGCAAAAAAATCTTTATTTCATTCTAAGGTGGTAAAAACGCCATCACAGCCAAATAAGTACAACCTTATCAAATAAGTGATACAACATACAGTACACAACCCCATACATTTATTTCAATACCAAATTCCTCCACCAGGCTGTTAATTCCGCAAATCCAATTTCGTCTCACTACCATTTCAAGGTGATGTGGTATAAAAGAGGAGCCCTTACAATTCCGTCCATATTCATATGCTACCATGATTCCCTCTAGAGACGAGTCACAAACTATATGAAGCCTCCTCGAAGAGAACGTATTAAATATTACAAGCGATCCAACATCCCGAGTGATGTGCTATCCTAAAGCAAGTCCGTTATAATAGGTAAACAACCTCAAGATCCGCAATGTAACGGATCCCACTCTCAACAAATTACTGGTAAGACCTTGGGTAACCAGAACGCAAGGCCGCGTACTCCCGACGTCACCTACATGTGGGACACGCCTCGTGTCGTTGTTTCCGATCATAACAATCTACTTTTGCACATCATGTTTGAGTGTCACAAACCCGAACTGGTGGACATCGCGGACGAGAAAAGACTTACCTGGCGGTAAATTGTGACTTTTCAGACCCCGTCAGTTTCCGTTTGGGCTCAAATAAATTCGTTCTTGCGAGGTTTGCCGGCGGGTGAAGCCTAGGATTTCATCCCTTGCACTTTTAAGCCTCTACCTATGACCGCAGGTGCTGGCAGTCCGTATTCATGGACTTCGTCTTTGGGGCACCGCAGACAAACACAAAAATAAAATTCTTGGGTTCGCTGACCGGTTCATTAAGATGTTGCATCTTGTTGCAGTACCCGAATCGATAACGGCATGGGGATCCGCTCGTGCCTTTATCGAGAAAAGATTTAGATTCCATGAATTACATCGTGAACTCGTGTCCGACCGTGACCCTCGGTTCACGGCGGAGTTTGAGCAATACATGTTCGGATCGCTGGGGACGCGTTTGAAGATATTAACATCTGATCATTCCGACACTGATAGTCAGACGGAACGTGCAAACCGTGAGCCTCGAAATAAATTCGAGGATACGTTCACTCGTTCTCGAGTTGGAGCTAATTACTACCGATGGTGGAATTTGCCGTCAATAAGTCGGTGCATGCTTCAACTTACCACACATCATTTTTCGTGAATGGATCACGCCATTCGCGTATTCCTGTACTTTAAGATTGTGACTAATGAATAGGGGGAGGGGCTAGCTCGAGCAAAAACCTGTTATGGCTCTTGCTCATCACGTGTCAACGCCTACGTCGTCATGCATGATACCGATCTCCATCAGGTCGACATCGAAGAAGAAGATCATCCAAATAATAGTAATGCCGCTGTTGGTGATACAGAAAATGATGACGTGGTAATAATTTTAGCATCGCTAACGACTTTTCTTGACAGGATAATGCCACCCTCGCTGATGAAGAGAAGAGGAGAAGATCCTTTCTGCAGTTTGCACAAGGTGAACTGAACAAAACATTGACTCTTCAGTAGAAGGATTTCTGCTGGCTCGCTAGTCAGTGGTCCGTTTCTTGCAGGACTCCATCGCTCATGCGGCGGACCGGCAGAAACGGAACACTAACAAGGATAGAAGTGCATATGTTCTTACATTTGTTATAGGCGATATAGTCTTAATATCTACGGTAAACCTACCTAGACATGCAGGAACTAACGTGTGCAGCAGTAAACTACTGCCCAAGTACATTGGCCTCTTTCGCGTGCTGCGCCGAAAAGGTGAGGCATAAATGATTGAGCTGCCGCGTAGCATTCGCACGCATCGCACGTTTAGAGGGGCGTCTCCACCCAATCTGTCATTACGAGCCCTCATCCGACGACGAAGATATCCACCACATTAAAGAATATCCACCAGATTCTTGCGCTGGCGCCTCAAGCGTTAAGTCTGGATGAATAGTTACGAGACTTCTCCACTTAATTGAGAGATCTTACTGTGATCTGTCGCTAGCTATTAAATGAGGGAATAGATATCTCTCTAGACCTGAAGCTATGCGAGGGCGTAATCAGCACGATTATTTGCACGATCAACCTTACGATCTTTGCGGTGCTTCCGCATAGAATCGGTCAGAAAGTACCGTCTGTCCTTCTCGTAATATTAAATTTTGCGCAATATTACGATTGAGAATACATCTCGTGTGGGTCAAGGTAGTAAGTTGAACGACTTTGAGGATGTTTTTCCTCCTCCTTTGTATTCTTATCAAATTCACACGGTGCTTAAAGCTTTCCTATGGGTGTATCTTATACCACCGTGACGACTCAGGATCCAGGGGGAGTTACCTTGTTCAGTGGCGGGGATGTCCACCCTCGTCCAACATCTAAGAGCCTCTTTTTTAGCTGATGATGGATATTCCCGGTCTCGTTGTGCAATACGACAAGACGTACCTTTAGACGATGAAGTGCAATTGTCGAACGAACATCCGGTGCAATCATCAAGAGATTTTAGAGCATCTGTCCCTTTGTACATCTCAGACAAGATGCGCGACCTCCGATAGGGCTAATTAGGGAAGAAGGCCGCCCTAGGGGCGCGAACAGAGTTGCCAACACAACTCTAACAGTTCCATCCCGACGAGAGGCAAAGTAAACCTGCCTATCTAGATAATCGGTGCACCTAAAACC